CTTCAAGTATAAAAGCAAAGGAAATCAAGTAAACCAGGGACAGGCATCAATTCAGGTGGCTGAGAAACAGATCCCTGTTTAAGACTTAACTATTTTAGCTTTTATCTATGTATTTTACACTTAAACTATACACCTTAAACTAAGTATTAAAAATAAACTACAATTTAATGGATAGATTTTATGAATCGCATCTGAGATTAGAATAAAATTATGTCTCTTTCCTTCAGCTGAATAAAATGGTACACGAATTAATTATATGTACATTAAATATACAGTAAATAGCAGTAAATATACCACCAAGATCTTTTGAACAAGGCATTTGCACTCTCAGTTTAGGGAACCAATGTCTAATGTACTTTCACTGCTTCATTTTAATTATGTCATCATTAGTATACTGCTATCCCTCTCCTCAGAGAATTATAGAATCACGTTGGTTTAGGTATGAAAAAGGACTTTATGGTCATCTAATCTTTTCCATAGAAATTTATGAAATATTATTTTCTGTAATAATATTGTATTTGTGCTAATCTAGTCAGGAATTGAAGAAATATGTCTTTGTTGGGCATAACTAACTTGAGATTTTGTCTATGTGCTAACAAACCGTTTGATTCTTAAAGCCTTCTTCTGGAGGAGATGAGTATTTGTGTATAATTGATATTTTTCTCTATTGGACTTCACAGATATGGGTGTACATATGGAGGATTTTGAATTGTTGGCAACCTTAAGCACTTGTCTTACTTTCTTTGCCTTTCAATTTTTGGTGAAGGCATTTCGGCCAGTGTACAAGAAAAATTCTGTGCCATTGCTAACTCACTCACTCTGTGTGTGTGTGTAACTAAAGATTTTAAGCATTGTGATTATTAGTATTCATTTTTTACAACTTCCCAGAATTGCAGGAAGAGTGTTTTCCAAATGCTTTGGGATAATGATATACTATTATTGTTTTAAAACTCATGCACATACCCTTTGATATGAACCTAAAATATATATAAAATATGTAATGTCTCTACTTATTTTATATTTAAAGGTATGTAAACTGTGTTTCAATTTGTATTACTCAGGTAATTGATTTCTCAGGATGATTAGACAAAGTGAGGCAGAAGTTTTATTTTTTGCCACATTTCTTTACCTGACATTTCTTGATAAAATATAGAGTAATATCCTAATTATTATTTTCATGGTCTTTATATAAATACTCCTAAATTACACACATATAACATTATAAAGCATCTTTTTTTTTTTAGTTTTAGTCCCTATAGCATGATTATTTGAAGTATATCAATACCATTAAATAACAAGTTGTCACCGGATTGTAATTTAAAGCCTAACATTTAATTTTTTATTGAGAACTTTCTAAAAGATATATTCAAACAAAAGAAAAGAAAATATTATTAGGGGGAGTTTTTGTGTAATGAAGGTTATCAGTGTAGGAAGACTGTAGAATTGGAGTGTAAATTGCAAAGTGATTGTTCAGGAGGAATAGCATCTTAAAAATGTTGTTGGATACTAGTGAGACTCAGAAAGTTACTGGTAAATCCTACTTACAATGATTACTCTTTGTTTCGGTCAGTAAAGTTACTTAAATTACATAGGATAGGGTATTAGCCAACAGGAGATGTTTAATGTGAGTGGTTGGAAAACTCTGTTGACGAAATAGTTGACAAAAATAGTCTTATAAAAACGCACTCTGAAACAGGCCTTATTACTCATGGAAAAGTCCTGTAATTATCATCAACATTTTTAAAACAAAAAAAAAATAAGCTTAAATGAAACAAATTTAAGTGTTTTTGCATAACCTTAAATTGAATTGATTGTTTTAGAAGAACATAAATTTTCACAGAATAATAAAAATTTTCAGAACATTACATTTTACCTTGTTTAGAACGAGGCTCATAACTTTTTTCCTATTGTATTCTAGATGGCATTAATTTGTGATTTTTCTTCATAAGCATGCTGCTCTTTTAAAGAAGATAATAATGCTCATTACTCCTATATTCTGTTCTTCCAATTATTTTTTCCAGCTGCAGATATTTGCTAAGTGATGTGAATCAGGAGAATGTTAGACA